TCATCATCATCATCATCATCATCATCATCATCATCATCATCATCATCATCTTATTCATCACCATCAACATCGCCGTATACAACACCATCATCCAAATCGTGAGCACCTTCATCATCATCATCGTTCGAATCATCATCATCATCATCTTCATTGTCATCATCATCATCATCATCATCATCATCCTATTCATTATGATCATGATCATCATCATAGTCATCTTCATCATCATCCTCTTCATCGTCACCATAATCATCTTCATCATCAACGTTATCATCTTCAGCACCATCAACATCACCATCATCTTCATCATCCGAATGAATATGAACATCATCATCATCATCATCAACATCATCATCATCATTATCGTCATCATAATCATCTTAATCATCAACATCATTATCATCACCATCATCATCACCATCAACTTCTTCGTCCGAATCATTATTATCATCATCATCAACATCAACATCGTCAGCATCATCATCAACATCTTCATCATCATCATCATCATCATCTCCTCATCTTCATCATCATCATCATCATGATCATCACCATCATCATCACCATCATCATCACAATTATCACCATCATCCGAATAATCATCATCATCACTATCCGAATCAACATCCTCATCATCATCAGGATCACCATGATCATCAGCATCATCATCATCATCATCAATATCATCATCATCCTCACCCGAATAATGATCATCAACATCGACATCAACATCACCATCATCATCATCCTCATCATCATAAATATAATCCTCAACATCATCGTCATCATCATCATCATTTTCACCATCCGAATCATCAGCATCATCATCATTCGAATCATCATTATCCTCGTCTTCATCATCATCATCATCATCATCATCTTAATCATCATGATCATCCTCCTCATCTTCATTCGAATGATCGTCATCAGTTTCATCATCATCATCAGCATTATCATTCGAATCGACGTCATCACCATCATCAACATCATCATCACCCGAATCTTCACCATCCGAACGATGTTCATCATTTTCATCATCGTCATCCTCCAACTCATCATCTTCATCATCATAACCATCATCATCATCCGATACACGGTCAACATTGTCATTCGATTCATCATCATCATCATCATCATCATCACCATCATCATCATAGACATCATCATCAGCAACATCATCATCTTCATCATCATCATCAACATCATCATCATCATCATCATCATCATCATCAACATCATCATCATCTCCTCATCAAAATCTTCGTCACCATCATCATCACCATTATCACCATCATCAACGTCATCATAGTCATCACCATCAACTTCATCATCCGAATCATTATGATCATCATCATCAACATCATCATCGACAGCATCATCATCAAAATCATCGTCATCTTCATCATCACCATCATCATCATCATCATCATCATCATCATCAACATCATCATCATAATCATCATCATCATATTCATCATCATCAACATCATCATATTCAACACCATCACCCAAATCATTGGCACCTTCATCATCACCATCATTCGAATCATCATCATCATCATGTTCATTGTCATCATTATAATCATCATCACCATATTCATCATGATCATGATCATAATCATCTTCATCATCAACATTGACATCTTCAACACCATCAACATCCACATCAACTTCATCATCCGAATCAATATGATCATCATCATCACCATCATCATCATCATCATCATCATCATCGTCATCATAATCATCATCATCATCAGTATCATCACCGTGATCATAATTATCACTATCAAGTTTATCATGCGAATCATTATGATCATCATCATCACCATCATCATCATCAACAACATCATCATCATCATCATCGTCATCATCATCATCATCATTATCATCACCATCATCGTCGTCATCAACATCATTCGAATCATCATCATCCGAATTTTCGATCATCATCATCAACATCGTCATCTTCATCATCATCGTCATCATCAACATCATGATCATCAACGTCATCCTCACCATCATCATAATCATCCGAATGATCCTCATCCTGATCATCATCGACACTCGAATCATCATCACCATCAACCTCACCATCATTCGAATCATCATCATCATTACCATCATCATCATTATCTTCATCATCATCACCTTACTTTCCTCATCATCTTCCTAATCATCGTCATCATCATCATTATCATCATCCGAATCATCATCGTCATGCTCGACATCATCATCATCATCATCGTCGTCATCATCATCATCATCATCATCTTCATCATCGTCATCATCATCACCAACATCATCATCATCTTCATCATCATCATCATCTTCATCATCATCATCATCTTCTTCATCAACATCATCATCATCATCATCCGAATCATCATCATCATCATCATCATCATCAACATCATCATAATCATCATCGTCATCATCATCATGATCGCCATTATCATCATCTTCAACAACATCATCAACATTATCATCATGATCATCATCCGAATAATCATCATCAACATCGTAATCAACATCATCATCATCGTCATCAATATCATCATCATCATCATCATCATCATCATCATCATCATCATCATC